TAGCCAGGGACCCACCAGCAGCAAGATCCAAGCCAAACGAGGGGGGGGGGTGGCCTTGGAAGCCCCCCCTTTTGGGGAAAGAGGAGCCCGGGCTGACCCCGAGCTCCGAAAAGGGGGGGGGGAGCTGCCAAGTCCCCTCCGCTTAACCAGGGACCCCCGAGCTACAACATCCAAGCAAAAGAAGGGGCTCGGTCGTTCCTTATGTTTGCCTGCGTTATTTACAGTTCCTTATGCGTTACTTGTCATTTATCGTTCCTTATGCGTTATTCCTTGGGATAAAAAAGGGGCTTCGTTCCTGATGTATCGTTCCTTAGGTCAGGCCGATGACTGTAGCTTCCAAACCCTCCCCATTAGCCAGGGCCCCCTTAGCTATATAATGCCAACAGGATGGGTGGATGGGGGGGGGGCCCTTCGGAAGCCCCCCCTCTCCCCATGTTTTCCAAGGGAGGGGGGTGCGTAGCTTGCAGCTGGGCCCCACCTTTTTGTAAGGAGTGTTCCAAGGGCGCGATCTTTCATTGTTAATGACACTCGTATCGAAGACTGTTTAGTGGTGCTTTGTGCGTGTGTGTGTGTGTGTTTGTGTGTGTGTTTCTGTCTTGTTTCGCGGCAGCCGGGTCCCTTGCGCCGTTGTTCTGGCTGTGTTGAGTTGCCACCATGTTTCTATGATGCGACGCCGCGCGCGTTTGCCAAGCAACAGGTATGTCTAGATACGGAGCCAAAGTGTCTTCCTGTAATCGAAGCCGTCGAAACGGCTGCGGAACCTGGGGGTCATCCTGGCACCAATTATCATGTCAGACATGATTTCAGACATCGGCATGTGAAGGAAATGACATCTTTGGACAGCACAACCGCACGCTGTACTTTGAGACGCGTTCTGATATTGATCTGCTCTCGCCTCCTTGGCTTCTCTCGCTCCTTTTCTCTCCCTCTTTCCCTCTTTCTCTCGCTCTCTCTCTCTCTCTCTTTCTCCCCTCTCTCCCTCTCTCCCACTCATACACACGCACCCACACACACACGCTTGGTGTGACCATGCAATCGTTTTTTTGCCTGACGGCGACTCGTTTCGGACACTCGCTCCTCCCCCAGAGCTCAGAGGACCACGGAGTTTCCGCGCGCGTGCAGCGCTGGGCGTGATCGAGGTAGGGCGTTCAGGCAGTGGACTATTGTTGGTAGTGCAAGTTTTGTAAGCATTTCATCTCGGACATAATTATTCTCCTTTTGTTCTCAGCCCCATTGCATGCGTAGAAGCGTTGGCTCCAGTGTCGCGCTTTCACAGCGCGCGATGGCGTGGGCGGATTCCGGCTGTGGATCGACGACCGACGACCGAGACAACGACGACCGACGACGACGACCGACCGACCGACGACCGACGACCGGACCGAACGACCGACCGACCGACCGATCGAAACGACGACGACGATCGATTGACCGACCGACCGACCGACCGAGACGACGACCAAGGACGAGCAGCGGACCAATCGACCGACAGACCGAGACGACGACGACGACGACGAACGATGGCGACGACGATCGACGGACCAACTGACCGACAGACGAGCGCGCGGACTGACCCAGTCTGGGAGCGGGGCGTGGATACGATGCTAGGACCCCCGCCATTGGCCCGTCACCCCGCCTCCCCCGATTGACTTGTATGTTCAACGCCCTAAGCAGGGTGCGCTTCCAGCCCGATCTCTACGATGGACGCCGTTCCAGCCGCCCACGGGTAAGGTTTCAGCTCTCTTTCTTCACGACGGAAAGCGTTCCAACCGCCTGTGCCGACAAGAGGGGATGGTCCCACCCGCGCAACTTGTGGGAGGGAAAGCGTTCCAGCCGCCCACGGTGTCGGTTCCAGCCTCTACTTTTAATGCAGCGCGCGCGCGTTCCAGCCGAGCGCGCGCGTTCCAGCCGCGCACGGCGTGGGCTCGGGCCGAACATGTTTGCCCAGCGCGAGCGTTTTCAGCCGCACTCGGCGCGGGTTGCAGCCGTGCCCTTTTACCGAGCGCGCGCGTTCCAGCCGCCCGCGGCAACTTTCAGCAGCAAATTCACCCACTGACCGTGGAGTCAATGTTTGCGAGTGTTTGTCCGCCACCTCTCTCTCTCTCTCGCTTTCTCTTCCGTTCTCTCTCCCTCTCTCTCTTTCTCCACTCTCTCTCTCTGGTTCCTCCTCTTTGGATCGGGGAGGTGGGCGTCTCGGCGCTCTCCGAGAGGCTCGCGCGGATGGCCGTGGAGTCGGCCGAGGCGCGAGCGAACGCCTCGGCACGGCAGGCGGGCCGCTGGGCTGCCGAGGGGGGGCAGAGCAGGAGGGGCAACGGATGAGGATCAGCATCGGCCTCCTCTTTGCTCTCCCTCCTCCTCCTCTTCCTCCTCCTCCTCCTCCTCCTCCTTCTCCTCCTCCTCCTCCTCCTCCTCCGCCCCCCCCCTTCTCCTCCTCCTCCTCCTCATCCTCCTCCTCCTCCTCCTCCTCCCCCTCCTCCTCCTCCCCCTCCTCCTCCTCCTCCTCCTCCTCCTCCTCCCCCTCCCTCTCCCTCCTCCTCCTCCTCCTCCTTCCTCCTCCTCCTCCTCCTCCTCCTCCCTCCTCCTCCTCCTCCTCCTCCTCCCCCTCCCCTCCTCCTCCTTCCTCCTCCTCCTCCTCCCCTCCGCCTCCTCCTCCTCCTCCTCCTCCTCCTCCTCCTCCTCCTCGCTGCTCTCCCCCCTCTACTTCCAGGTGGTTCTGACCAACCTCACCCGCGGGCCAGCCAGTCAGAGTCTCAGCTTCGCCGGCATGTCCTCCACTTCAGCTGTGTATGGACCGAGAGGAGGGTCCGCCGATGCCAAACGAGCTCCCCATCTGCTCGTCCCCTGCCCCCGGGCGCGCGGGGTGGGGGTGAGGTGGGACTGCTGAGGAGGAGGTGGAGGAGGAGGAGCAGGAGATGGTGGTGGAGCTCCTCTGCGGCCAAGGACAGATGGCCGTAGGAGAGTATTTGGCGTTTCCCCCTCACTGACGGCCATGGCACCCACAACTGTGGGGCGCCAGGGACGGTGTCAGTACGCGACCGTCGGTGCACTGCCAAACGCAGGATATGGAGAGGACGTTGGAAAAGGTGGGCGATGAGGAGGAGGGGAGGAGGATATGGGTTTGGGAGGATGAGGAAGGGAATCGCTGGGATGATGGTGATGATAAGGTGATGCTCATGTCCATGATTGCTGTTGAAGATTATGATGATGTTGATGATCACGCTGATGATGGCGATGATGAAACCCATGATGATGCTGATGATGATGCAGATGCTGATCCTGATGCTGATGCTGCTGCTGTTGATGATGGTAATGGTGATATTGATGATGCTGGTGATGATGCTGCTGATGCTGACGATGATGCGGACGATGATGATGATGATGATGATGCTGCTGATGATGATGATGATGATGATGATGAAACTGATGATGATGATGATGATGAAACTGATGATGATGCTGCTGATGATGAGGACGAGGATGACGGTGAGGATGGTGATCATGCGGATGCTGATGATAAGGGCGATGTTGATGATGAGGCGGAGGAGAAAGAGGAGGAGCAGGATGCTGATGCCGATGATGCCGATGATGCTGATGATGATGAGGAGAAGGAGGAGGAAGAGTCGGATGATGTTGACGATGATGGTGGTGATGATGATACTGTTGCTGATGGTGATAATGATGATGATGATGATGATGATGATGATGATGCTGATGATGATGATGATGCTGATGCTGATGCTGGTACTGATGCTGATGCTGCTGCTGCTGCTGATGATGTTGCTGATGATGCTGTTGATGCTGATGACGAAGATGATGATGCTGATGATGCTGATGATGATTATGATGATGATGATGATGATGATGATGGTGATGATGGTGATGCTGGTGATGATGGTGAGTGTGATGGTGAGGGTGAGGGTGAGGGTGAGGGTGATGGGTGATGGGTGACGGGTGATGGGTGATGGGTGGTGATGGAGAGGGGAGGATGAGGAGGATGAGGAGGAGAAGGAGAAGGAGGACCAGAGGGAGCCCAGCACGCACCAGTGATACTGCAGCGCGCCCTCTCGTTCCACGCCCCCTCCCCAGAAGTCCACACACGCGTGCCCCCTCACTGCGGCCAGCACCCGCTGGACAGATGCGTCGGGCAGCCTGCTGGGGCGCATGGCCTACGTCAACCTGCCGCACTTCGGCGTCGGGTGGCTCGCGCCAGGGGCGGCCCGGGGCCCTGGCGAGCCGCGTGCGGGCAGCGGAGCGAACCCTGAGCGCGCGGATGCTGGCGGCGTGGCGCCGTCCGACGGGGTCGCTCATGGGGGCCGCTGAGCAGTGCTCTTCTTGCCGCTCACGAGGGCGCTGCAGGCGCCGTGGTTCAAGTCTGGCCGCCTCCTCCGCCGCACCATGAAAGAGTGCGAGGCAGCAGTTGCCTGGCAGCCCTGTGCGCGCGGGGGTGCACGGCGGAGGGGCGGGGACGTGGGCGGCCTTCCTGCTGGGCGCGTCGTGTGCCCTCCTCGCCTTCATCGGCTTGTGCGGTGCGCGGCGAGGCAGATCAGTCGTGAGATGGCCATGACACACCGACGCCACGGCGACAGCGGAGCCGTGATTTTAGCTTCTGATGCAGAACCTGTCGGTCGTTTAGGCGGCTCGGCTTGGCGTAGACCTCCGGGCCAGGGAGAGCTCACTGCGGCCGTCGCATGCGTTGAGATTGGAGCTATGCTTCGGCGACGCTCTGCCTCCTCTTCCATCCTCGCTGTGCCCTACCCTCCCCGCTCGTTCCTCCTCTTCCTCCGCCTCTGTCCTCGTGCCTCCTCGTCACCCTCCCCCCGCCGTGCTCCTCAGAACGCGCGGCGTGCGCTCCCATCCATCGCGCCAGTGTGGAGAGCTCTGCGTGGCGAGGTGTACTTTCGGGTGGATGCGCGCATCAGCACGCGGCGGTCTGATGCAGTCTCCCCCTCCCCCCTCCTCCCTCCCAGCTGACCCCTCTTACTCCACTTCTCCTCCGCTGCCAGGACGACTTCGAGGGGAAGGCGAAGCTGTGGGTGGGCGCTCTCGCGAAGGAGGGCAAGAACCTGAAGGCGCAAGCCCGGCGCCTCTGTACTTTCGTATGAAGTGGATCTGAGAACAAGCAACAGCATTTTACATACACGTTCGGAGTTCCGCGCGGACTTCTCGGATCCGCTCTCGGGCCCCCCTGGCGGCGCCTCTGGCGCTGCCCCTGGCGCGCTCCGCGCGCTGGGGATGGGGCTCCCGCGCGGATTCAAGAATTCCGTGCGGACCTCCGAAAGTTTATGTTTATGCCGTTGTCTGTTCCTCGAATGAAGGTCCACGGCGCATGTGAGCTTATGGTGCCTTCGTCCTCCCAGAGGGCTCACTCGACTTTTCTCCAGACCTCGTTGCCTCCGCCTCAGAGGCACAATCCCGGCCCTCCTGTCTCCTTCCTTCGTCCTCATTCAGATTTTCCACCCTCCTGCCTCAGCGGCACTGCTAGGTACCCATCGCCACCACCTGTGCCGAATGCTGCCAGCTGGGACTTTACAGTGCGGCTTCGTGGAGTGGAGCAGCGCAGCAGCAAGGGGTCCCATGACGGCGTGCCGACGAGGGAGGACACGGCGGCGTCGGCTTGGCGATGGCCTCGACGCGCGCGTGCCAGAAGCTGCGGGGGGCGATCGCGAGGCCCTCTGGTGCGTTCTCGGGCCCCCGGGGCCCTCGAAAACTGATGGGCCTGTTTTCCACCACCACCACCAGAAGTTGGAGGGGGGGGAGGTGAAGGACGAGGAGGAGGACGAAGAAGAGGAGGACGAAGAAGAGGAGGAGGAGGAGGAGGAGGAGGAGGAGGAGGAGGAGGAGGACCTCCTCCCCCTCCAACTTATGGTGGTGGTGAAGGTGGAAAACAGGCCCATCAAAAACGGCTCCAGGATGAAAGGCTCTGGGATGCCACAAGCCGACTGGGGCTCCCGATCCCCAGGAGGATCGAGGATCGAGGAGGCTCGAAGAGGATCCGGGATCGAGGAGGATCGAAGAGGATCGAGGAGGATCGAGGAGGATCGGGGAGGATCGGGGATCGAGGAGGATCGGGGAGGATCGAGGAGGATCGGGGAGGATCGGGGATCGAGGAGGATCGAGGAAGATCGAGGGCTTCAAGGCCCCCCGCCGAGACCGACACAGGACAAAAAAAGCTTGACCGACCGACCGGAGCCCTCGCGCGACCCTCTCGATCGGACGACGGGCGACGGGCGGCCTTTGGCGGCGACGACGGTGGCAAAACGACGACGTCGGACGGCGACGACGGCGTCGGGCGACGACGGCAGGCGGCGACGACGGCGTTGCGACGACGATGGCGACTACGACGTCGTGCGACGACGGCAGGTGACGACGATGACTACGACGACGACGACGACGACGACGACGACGACGACGACGACGACGACGACGACGACGACGACGACGACGACGACGACGACGGTGGGCGACGACGACGACGACAATGAGCTGACAACGGCGACGACGACGACGAGGATAACGACGAGGACGATGACGACGCCGACGCCGACGCCGACGCCGACGCCGACGACGACGAGGACGACGCCGACGCCGCCGACGACGACGACGACGACGTTGTCGGGCGACGGCGGTGGGCGGTGCCGCCCGTGAGGAGCGGCTCGAGGCCCTGGGCTCCGACGTCGGCTCCCTGGCGGAGCAGCAGGGCGCCGACGGGGACGCGCGGGCAAGGGGGGGGGGAGGAGGAGGAGGAGGAGGAGGAGGAGGAGGAGGAGGAGGAGGAGGAGGAGGAGGAGGAGGAGGAGAGGAGGAGGAGGAGGAGGAGGAGGAGGAGGAGGAGGAGGAGGAGGAGGAGGAGGAGGAGAGGAGGAGGAGGAGGAGGAGGAGGAGGTGGAGGAGGAGGAGGAGGAGGAGGGAGGAGGGAGGAGGAGGAGGAGCGGCGGGGGGGCGGGGGAGGACACGGAGGAGATGAAGGAAAAGGTAAGGTATCCATACCGCTGCACTTCCCTCTTTTTCCCCTCGTGGAGCCTCCTGGGAGGCCCTCGGCACCACTGCTGGATTCGCCTCGACATTCTGGTCAGAACGCACCCCAGGAGCGGTCTGGGGAGTAGCGGTATCGGTACATATTGGTTTCCCCAACGGAAGAAAAGAAGGAGGAGGTGGAGGAGGAGGAGGTGCCAGATGGTTGCGTCAGCCACGACCATGGAGCCACCAGCCTGAGAAGGACGAGCAGGGGCCGACAAACATTCGCGCACATAGCTGCGAACAGGAATGGCTACACGCGGTCGCTTGCTCTAGGCCCTCTTCGGCAGGCCCCCGGGTGGCGGTGGCACTGAATCGTTTCCTTTGTCGCTTTTGGGTCTTCGACCAAGTTTGCACCGACAGGGAGAATGGAGGGAATGGAGGAGGACCCATACATCCAATGTCCTGAAAAGGTCAGGGTGGCGCGTTGGTACTTGAGCTTGTGCTTGGGCCTCTGGAGGGCCATTTCGGAATTTTGTGGCGCGTGTAAGCTTGCGGATTTCTCATGTACCAAATGATATCCAATGCCCTCGCCGCCATCCGCTCTAAAGTGAAGGTATATCATCGCATTGTTGGAGGTCCTTTTAGACCCATGAGCCCCAACTTCTGAATACATGTATGTTGTAGAATGTCCCGGAGCATCTTTAGGGCAGCCCTTGTTGAAACGCTGGAGAACTGCATGTAAGCGTACTAACCAAAGTCTGCATCAGCGAGCACGGGCTGCCGTGGGCAGTGCGAGTGGGGGAGGAGGGAACTCCAGGCGCGACTGCCGCTGCCCCCGCAACATGTGCAATCGAATCGCGAATGCTTGCAGTCTCTCCTGTCGATTGCGCGACACGAGTAAGCGCACGGTAGGATCACAGTGAGTTCCGGGCATGTGAGATCACAAGTGCTCTCGGGCCACGCAGGTCGACTCGCTCGCCAGGGGCCCGTGGCCACCTCGCGTCCCAGTGCCCCTTCGCCCCTGCGGGTGCCGCCTGGCGTTTCTATATCAGGGGCTGGTTCCTTGGGCCGTGCCTCGCGGCCCCCGTCGCGATTGGCGCCTCTCGCGGGGTTTCCCCGCGCGGCGCGGTCAATGCACTCTGCGTTCTGGTACCAGGGGCCAGTAGGCCGAAATGGGATGGTTGTGCGCGCGAGTGCGTTTTACTATTATCCCTCTGCTTGTCTCTTGGCATCGCTCGGACGCGTGCATTGTCGTCGGCGAGGACCATCGAGGAACATCTTGGCTCATCTTACGAACCGTGCACGCACGAAACTGAAGCATGCACGAGGAATGGGCGTCCGAGTGATGGCGCGATTATCCCTCTGCGTGTCTGTACTCCCCCGACGACTTTGCCGTGGCCCCCCCCCTCGCAGCAGGGGCCTTCGTCTTGCCCTCGTCGCCGTCGGGGGCGACGAAGAGGATGGGGACGGCTGCGGGAGGGAGGAGGAATGGCAAGGGAGGAGAGAGGAAGGACACGGGCGGCCATAATCTAGTGAGAGTTGGCGGGGGGAGGCGATGAGGGGGAAGAGGGGGGGGGAGGGGGAGGGGGGGTGGGGGGGGTGGGGGGGGGGGGGGGGAGGGGGGGGCGCGGGGGTGGGGGGAGTGGAGGGAGGGGGAGGGGGGGTTGGGGGAGGGAGAGGGCGGAGGAGCAGGCACAGGGGATCGTCCACCAGATTATGGGCAGCCGCGGAGAGGGAGGGATGGAAGGCCGCAGGCGCCGCCCGCCGCGCGCCGCACGCTCCCCCCTTCCGCTTTTCGCCCCGGCCTTCCTGGCGCACGCCGCGTGCCGCGCGCGCGCGCACGCCACGAGTGCCCCGTGCCTCACAGTCGCTTCCTGGTTTGGGCACGGGGTTCGGGCACCGGGGGGATTCGGGGGGGGTGGGGTGCGTCCAGGTTGCGTGATGATGATGATGATGATGATGATGATGACGATGATGATGATGATGATGACGATGATGATGATGATGACGACGACGACGATGATGATGATGATGATGATGATGATGATGATGATGATGACGACGACGACGACGATGATGATGATGATGATGATGATGATGATGATGATGATGATGATGATGGTGATGATGATGATGATGATGATGATGACCCCCCGATGCTTACTGCCTCGCCCAGCTCGTGCAGTGCCTCTCCTGCACGTCCGCCTCTCTGCTGGTGCCGTGGCAGACCCGTCCACGCGTCGCCCCTCATCGTTTCGAAGTCGTCTTCGCCGATCCCCCCGCGCTGCCCCCGTTCGCCGGATTACAGTGAGCGGCTTGAGTAAGGAACACTTCCTGTTCAAAAGGGGCTCGGTCGTTCCTTAAGGCTTGCATGCGTTACGTATCCTTCCTTATGCGTTTTTTTTTTTATTATGTATCGTTCCTTATGTTTTTCTCTTGGACAACAGGGGCTTCGTTCCTTATGTGTCGTTCCTTAGGTCAGGCCGATGACTGTATTTGGCCCTCCTCTTGTGCCAGCCAGCAAACCTAGAAACAATGCCGATTGGAATTCTTTGCGCTTCGCGTACCCCCACCAGCCCATCTCACAGCAGCACCTCTTGTGAAGCATGCCGACAGTGGTGTGTGTCAGGCGTGTGTCCGCTGGGCTCCGCATAGCTCCCTTGTTTCTCCTTCCTCTCGCTTCCGTGTAGTGGTAGTAGTAGTAGTAGTAGTAGTAGTAGTAGTAGTAGTAGTAGTAGTAGTAGTAGTAGTAGTAGTAGTAGTAGTAGTAGTAGTAGTAGTAGTAGTAGTAGTAGTAGTAGTAGTAGTAGCAGTAGTAGCGACACGACAGGTTTCAGTGGCAGTAGATGTAGGTGTCGTGGTAGAAGGAGTAGTGCTCGCAGTAGTAGTAGTAGTAGTAGTAGTAGTAGTAGTAGTAGTAGTAGTAGTAGTAGGATTAGGAGGCAGAGCAGCAGTAGTACGATGAGTAGTAGCAGCAGTAGTTGTAGTAGACCTCGTAGTAGCAGTAGAAGTAGTAGTGGGAGTAGTACTAGTAGGAGTCGTCGTAGTAGTCGTTGTAGTCGTTGTAGTAAATGTAGACGCAGTAGTGGTCGTGTCATCGCCGACGAGGAACCCCAGCGAAGCATGCCGACAGTTGTCTGGTGCAAGCATGTGTCTGTTTCCCTGTACGTGTATTCTTTGGTCCGACGCAGGAGGAGTCGGAAGAGGAGGCGGGAGGGAAGGAGTTGGGAGGCAAGACTGAGGGCGGCCGTCGTCGAAACCAGCGATCTTTCCCGACCAGCGTTGTTGTCGTTGCCACTCTGGCTTCTAGTATTGGAGTGTGGCTGTGAGCTTCGCTCCGCCTACCCGTAATAGTCGCCGCCTACTAGCATCACCATTGCGGTTGGCATGGAGAAGCGCCTGTGCTTTGTTGTACTTTTGCTTGCCACGGGGGCTCCTGGAAGCGAGCGCGCAGAATATTGGTAGCCGGCACTCTCGCTTCATGTTGAGTTTCCACAGTGCGGTCGGCGCGCGGCACTTTCTTTCCCATGGCTTCGAATGTGATGGCGATGACGATGACGACGATGACGAAAGGACAACGACGGCGCCGACGACGACGACCACGACCACCACGTCAATGGTGACTTGGCTTGCGGCCCGAACGCACGCGCTTACTGTGTTTTTTGGCACGAGGTGGCTTGTGTGCGCAAATTCCGCACGTAGCCCAGCACCGCCACGAGATCTCCATTTTTGCATCTGATGTGAGTCATATTCTTTTCCATTCGCCCCGCGTTCGTGTCAGCAGGTCGTCGTGGCGGTTAGCGCTCGGTGACATGCAGGCACGGCGGTCATCACGAGATGTCTCAGAGACGCGCCACTTGCGAGATTTTCTCGGCACGATCCATCGTCTTTGCGACGTCAGACCATGGATTCCCCTCCACACCTATACACGCATGTATTCAATACAGAAGCACGCGTAAATCAAAGGCGGTCCGACACACATCAAGAAAGCACAGAAAGACATGCACAGAAGTTCAACGTTGTCCTCGGCCTCTTCCCAAGAGAGTAAGAGTGGTGCGCCATTTGTCCTGCGGATGTTGAGTAGGCACATGTGGCGGTCTGGGAGTCGAAGTTCCAAGTGTCGTCTGCCGCGCTCGCGTGCAGGTGACGCGTGGAGCGTCGCCCAACGCGTGGGCTGAAGTGGTTCGCTTTGCCTTCCGGAAAGACGGGACGCAGTATATTTAGGTCGAGCGCTCTTCGTAGTCGTGCAGGAATACAGTGTGCTGAGAGGTCTTGCAAGTATGCAAGAGCTCGAGGCTCTCAACATGACTGTCGGCGTATCCCGTCACAGTCCATGTAGTGGATCGAGGCGTATCGTGCCTCCGGGTGTCCAAGGGCCTGGGGTCTAGTTCTCTGGTGTTGCAAGTTTCCCCGATTGTCAGGATATAGTATTATACAAGGTTGTCCTTGGTGCAGTTCCAGGTAACTTCCAGGGTTCTCACAGGGTGTCTACGTGTAGCATGGCTTATAATGGACATTTCAATCCGTCGGCGATTATCGAGTGCCACGTTTCAGACATGTCATGTTGTGTTGCTTGTGTGGTGTCCCGTGGAATCGTCTGCGATCTTCTCCAAGTTTGGTGTTCGAGCCAGCACTCCCCGGCGACGACGTCGACGACGACGACGACGTCGACGACCCTGCCGCTCGCTCGGGGCTGCCGTCTTCGCTGCTGCCGCGTTCGTTCCTCTCGAGGAGTATCTCGACGATTCTTAC